TCTTGCCGAGATCTCCCAGGTCACCTTCCTCATTCCCTACCTTGTTCCCAGGACTCCCCACCATGCCCAGATGGTGAGCATTTCAACTCCAGTGCACACTTTCAGTGGCAAGAACTCAGAATCGCACGAGGTAAAACCCGTCCCCTCTTCCAGTATTGATACATTTTTAACCAACAAGATTCAGACTCCTTAAAATGGCTCAAAACATAAAAGAAATAAATTAGGAAAGGAGATGAAAGCACAGCTAAAGTAAGGAGAAAAGAAGAAAATGATTAAAATGTTCGGTAAGAAATAGATGCACACACACTGAATCACTGCTGTGTGTTACCGTACAGGGGCTCCTTTAGAACACTTAGGGGGGCTCGGTGTTTCCGGAAGAGCTTCTTGTAGGAGAGAGAGAGAGCTGAGGTTTATGCCTCAGCATCTGGCTAAACACAGATTCAGAGGGGGCCAGAAAGAAGATATTGAACAAGGCGGCAAAAGAAGTAAAAACTCAGTGAAGTTGAAATAAGGGTGTGGGAGGCCTGTGAGGCACACCGACATCAGAGGGCCTCACGAAGATGAGTCACGGTGAGCTGGCCTCCAGCAATCACAACCGTTAGATTACTGTACTGTGGCTGAAAGGAGATCGTCCTGTGTCTTTGTGCTGCATGACCCGTGGGTCACCGAGCACACTGCCTTTACTTTGTGGCTTATACATTATAAACCAGATTTTTTCTGACCGAAGCCACAGAATAATGTGTGTTAAAAGCTCAAAAGATTCTATTACTCCAACAACAGAAAGCATTTATTACCTAAGCAAAGGACTTATGACATGGTTCAAATAGCTTATTTACAAGAAGCAGGAGCCTTGTCCCCCCATCTGCTTCTAACACCAGGGTAGGTCTGGGAGAGCCACACAACTGCCCCCTGAACTGTGCTGCTGGGGTTCCTTCTGCCTGTAACATTCTTCCCCGGGGATCAACTTGGTAACTCTTCACGTCTTCACTCAAACGCAGCTTCTGTGTCAAGCCTGGACATCTCATCTGAAACTCCAGCAGACTCTTCACACACGTGCACATATTCATGGGCACAGGCACACATGCGCACATTTTTGTGGGCACAGGCAGACACGAGCACATGTTCATGGGCACAGGCACACAAAAGCACATGTTTGTGGGCACAGGCACACACATGCAAATGTTCATGGGCACAGGCACACACGAGCACACGTTCGTGGGCACAGGCACACACGCGCACACGTTCGTGGGCACAGGCACACACGCACACACGTTCGTGGGCACAGGCACACACACCTGTTCTCCTTTAGCACTCATCACTGTCTGTAGCACTATTTTACTTATTTGTCTTGTTTCTTATCTCTACTCCCCTCCTTTCTCGTTAATGTGTAAACTCTTCCAGGCAAGGATTTTTGTCCGCATGGTTACTGATAGATCCCCACGTACAACAGGAGATTGAAATTAAAATGTGGGAATTGTGCAAATGAATCTCACGTAGCCTCATGAGGGTTCCAGTGTCTGTGAATGCTCAGTTAAAAGCGTTATTGACTACAATAGTTCAGATATAAA